TAAGTGTATATGTGTGCATTAGTGCAGGAGATTGGTGAAAGTGTACTGAAGATAGAGAGAGGTAAGATGAATTAACGATAATAAGGTAGAAAGCAAAACTCCTTGAATATGTAAGAGACATACATAGGGGAAAAAGACTTTTTTCTATAGGACATTGATTTATGCAACTGGTTTGATGGATCCTATTTGCTCTTGAATTGACTTTATTCACTAGCATTTAGAGTGGCTGCTATACTCACTTGACAGTTATGGGGAATAATTATGTATTTTCCTTACTGAACTGCTTTAAAATGTCACGTTGCTTGAGAGTTCCTGCAGCTTGTCAGCTTGTGTTAATTTTCTTCATTTTTCTAGTGAATGCTTTAAACTGTTGACCCAGCTCGTGAATACAGCAGCCCTTTTCTTTCTCCTATAAAAAAAAAAACAGGCAATTGGTTCACAGATATCATTAGACATGCAGAAAACGAAGCATTCTGGTACAGATGTAAGTCTATATATTTAAGAAAAAGTCAATGTATTTTTTCTTTTTTCAAAAATTTCCACCAATATTGTGCAACATTTATTTCAATTAAATTTCATCCATTAACTTTGGTTGTTAATTTATATTTTCAATAAATAGTCCCTAATATTTTTATAGAATGAACTGTGACAGTAATTATTTAAGTGTTCTCAGGACTGGAGGGAAAGAAAATTAGATATTAAAGGCAATCTGGCAGGATAGTTAAGAACCAAAGCTAAGGAATTTAATCTGGGTTCCACTGTTATTAGTCATTTGACCTAAGCCAGTTAAATAATCTAAGACTCAGTGTCTTTGTTTGTAAAATGTGGATAATATAAAATACCAACCTCTAAGGAGATTATATACATACACACAAATGTGTATATGTATGTGTATGTACATATATACGTACATATATACATATGTGGTTATTATTTTAGCATTTTCCAAAATGAAATCAATATTTATTGAAATTAGTATTATTATTTTGTTTTTTTCTCCCAAAATGAAATTTGAACAAGACCTCTAATAGTATTGGTAATGAAACCATCAGGCATTCCAGGTTCTTTGTGGAGACACCTGACTTTCTGTTTTTGTTTTATGAGGATGGTATAGGAATTAATATCCATTTATCTAGATGTCAGATTCTGCAAGGACAGCCAGGCCTCAGAAAGGGACAATCACCAAGACACATAGTCAACACACTGGCTAAAGTCAACAAAGAGGAGGAACTCCTATAAGCCATAAGGCAAAAACATAAAGTCACTTATAAAGGAAAACCCATCAGGCTAACTGCAGACTTCTCAACTGAGACCTTATAAGCCAGAAGGGGTTGGGGCCCCATCTCAGTCTTCTTAAACAGAAAAACTACCAGCCTATAATTTTGTATCCTGAAAAACTAAGTTTCATGCATAAAGGAGAAATAAACACTTTTCCAGATGAGCAAACACTGAGAGAATTTGTCAAGACCAAACCTGCCCTGCAGGAAATACTCTGAACTGCATTATACAGGGATCAGCATAAGAGTCACCCATCAGTGTAAAACCACCCAAGAGCTAATGTTCAGAGCTCATATAAAAAAAACAGCACAAGAGGTAAAACAAAACAATATGGTACTACCCAATAGGATGAACAGAACAGCACCCCACACATCCATTCTATCAATCAATGTGAATGGTTTGAATTCCCCACTCAAGAGACATAGGCTGCTGAATGAATAAAAAAATATAAGCCAAGTATCTGCTATTTGCAGGAAACACATCTAACTCACAAGGATTAATACAAACTCAAAGTGAAGAGATGGAAAAAAAAAATATTCCATGCAGATGGAAACCAAAAGAAAAAGGTATAGCCATTCTCATATCAGATAAAATTGACTTTATTTTTTTATATATTTTATTTTTTACTTGTTAAAAGCCTTTAATGGAATAAAATGCCTCAGGGCAAAATCAAACTCAGGGCCCGAGGCCCAGTAACCTTTTCTTTTTTTTTTTTTCCCCCATTTTTTTTTTTATTTCAGCATATTATGGGGATACAAATGTTAAGGTTATGTGTATTGCCCCTCCCCTTCCTCGATTCAGAGCTACAAGCGTGACCAACTCCCAAACATTGCACATCTCACTCATTATGTTTGTATATACCCATCCCCTCCTCCCCCTCCCACCCACCTGATATCTGATAAATGTTATTCCTATATGTTCACTTAGGTGTTAATCCGTTAATACCAATCTGCTGGTGAGTACATGTGGTGCTGCACTCGAATGTTTATAGCAGCATAGTTCACAATCGCAAAGTTGTGGAAACAACCCAGGTGTCCATCAATACGCAAGTGGATTAATAAAATGTGGTATATGTATACCATGGAGTACTATTCAGCTTTAAGAAACAATGGTGATATAGCACCACTTGTATTTTCTTGGATAAAGCTGGAACCCATTCTACTAAGTGAAGTATCTCAAGAATGGAAAATAAAATTGACTTTAAATCAACAATAATAAAGAAAGACAAAGATGATCACTATAAAATGGTAAAGGGAGCAATTCAACAAGAAAACATAACAATCCTAAATATTTACACATCCAACACAGGAGTGCCCAGATTCATAGAGCAAACCCTACTAGATCTAAGCAGAGACAGGCAGCATTGTAATTGCCAGGGACTTCAACACCCTACTGACAGAACAGGACAGATCATCCAATCAGAAAATAAAGACACCCTGGACTTAAATGGGACTCTACAATAGGCCTCTAATCAGCAAAAAGCCGTACTGCAGCTGTTAAGAAATAACATCTTTGAACATGTAAGTAAAAAAGTTTTCTAAGAAATTAAATAAATAAATAAATACAAACCCCAAGTAATTGGCTGTGTGGTAAAGGCCTTTCCCTTTTGATTCTGTCCTTTTGTGCCTCCCTCTTGGAGTTCTCTTGTTTCCATTACCCCTGCCATTTCCTGCACTGTCCCAGGAAGCACATTCGTTTTCTTTCTTGCTTTAGTGCTACTGAAAGAATTAAGTATTTTTGAAACGAAATGTAATAAAAACTAAACAGAAAAAAAAAAAATCCAAAAACTAAACAAAAGAGATGCAAGCAGTGTGAAAATAGCCAATTTTGCGAAGTATGGGCTTTGGAATTTAAGAAAACTAAATGCTAACTGTAAAATGACTGGTGTAGGCTCGGGTTCCTTTTCTCCCAGCATCTCATATTCTTTGTCTCTGATCATCACATCCCAACCTGAAGTCCCATATAAATGACATTTCCCAATCCTTTTTTTTTTTTTTTTTTTTTTTGCCATTCTCTCAAGAAAAGAGACTAGGGGAGAACATCGGTCAGTCTAAGGTTAAATGGACAGAAACTGATGTGGATTAGTTCAACACCGAAAAAGAGAAAGAAACTTCTAGTGCTTTCCTAATGCAGAATTACAGAGCAAAATAGCCACATCAGCCATTCTTCTCTTGCTCTTTGGGAAAGAGGCAAAGCTCTCTTAGGCCTTTCTTGGACAATGGTGTTGGGGCTAAGAACAGGATATCCCAAAGTATGGCCTTTTAGAATGCTGAGCACTTTGAACTAATGAAGATTAGAAGGCCTCAGAAGCAAAGTCTCTCTCGGCCCTCCTCCCCTCCTGCCTGCTGTCCCTCTTGTTCCCCTAAAGGGAGTCATAGAAACCAGACTTCCTCTTTCCCAAGGCGGGTCATAGAAACTAGAACCCCTCTTCCACAAATCTAGCCATAAAACCCAGCCAGGCCACTCTCTTCCTTCTCCCTTCTCCCTTTTCCCTCTCATTCCATACAGAATGCTACTCAGAGAGGCTAAGAAAAATCTGAACAGACAGGTCTTGCTGGGTTTGCCCACTTGGTCTGTTAGCATCAGAGCATGTGCTTTTGTCCAATCACATTTCCACATGGCTGTTCATTCTTCATTGAACCTACACATAAAACAGATGGTTTTTCCTCCGTCTTGGGGTCTTCATTTCTGAAGGCTCCTGTGTTACATAAAATTTTGATTATGTAAATTTGTCATGCTTTTCTCCTGTCAATCTTTCTTTGTCAGTTTTTATTTCAGACCTAGCCAGGAACCCTAGGAGGGTTGAGGAAACTTTTCCTCCTCTATAAGATTTATTTTGAGATTGAGAAGAAGTCTAAATTATATAGATCATATACCAATATAATAAGACTGTTTGAATTACCAAAAATGAATGAAAATTGATGAATCTGACCCAACTGCCTGAAAGAGAGTCACCATCAAGGTAGGTCAAAGAATTTCTTTAGGGCCAGGTCCTACATAGACAGCGGGGAATAATGGCTGGCTTTGGGGAAGTGGAGTCCTAGTTTTCAGGACTCACTTTGAGGAAGAAGAATTCTAGTTTCTTTTCAGAGTGGAAGTCTAACGGAGCCCAAAGCCTGTTTTCCTTCAATGTATTATTATGGTGAAGTTCATGGGCCAGGGCAACATCCTTGACCTGACTTTCCTACTCCTTTCGCTCATTTCGTAGCCTGCCCAACTTCCATGGATGTCCTCAGACCTGCACATTACTAGTGATCTGGAGCTAGCTTAGGCAAGGACTGTTGGACATATTTTTTCTTTGGACACTTAAGATTCCCACTGCATCCTGACTTCTGCAGAATAATCAACTCTTTTAATAAACTTTGTTCTGGCATAAGTTTAGTGTTGTTTGCTGCAAATCAATGTTAATGAAGCAATAATCTACATTATGTTAAGTAAGATGTTTGACTCAAATACTCAGCCATTGTTTCCCATGTGGAGGGGCTGTATAAACGAAGAACATGAGTGTGAAGATGGCTGTTTTACTATGTTTTAGAGAAGTTAAGGAAATTCACCATCATAAGTGAAAATGTAAAATCTTCATTTTTGTAATATGTTGACCTCAATAATAATAATCTCCCTTGGCTAAACCATTATTTGAGGGCTAACACAACTTACCTGGCTAATTCCTTCATTTTTCAATACTCAGCAGAGGCAAACATCCTCAAAGAATCCTTCCTTTATCTCCTCCTTGCCAGTCTGAGTTAGGTAGCCTCCCCCAGTGCTCACCAGCACGCTGGGCTTACCTCTGCAACCCCACAAGTCACTGCTTTATGGAAAAAAAAACAAAAAAAAAAAACCCTGTTTATTCCTCCTTCTCACCAGACCATGAACTCTGGGTAGAAAAAAAAATCATGTATTTTACTTGTGTCCTTAGCATCTAGAACAGTCCCTGACACATAGATAGATATTCAATAACTATTTCTGAATGAATACCAATATTTTATTTTTATAAACATTGATAAAAACATTAAAGAGATAGTAGCTTAAAATTTTATAAATCAGAAAAATGACTCATAGTGTAGACAAAGGTTAGATAATTCAAGCTGGAAAGTCATTAACTATTTTTAGCTCATTTTAGTAGCTGGGAGTCAACCTCTATCCTGGTGTTTAATTTCCAGGGTAGAGAAGACCAGAACAACTGAATGGACTCTAAAAGTGATTTAATTACTGATTTGTCACTTCATGCATCCGCGGTCACTATCGCCAAAACTCATTTAAAAGCCCTATATTTGGTGTTCTATAGAGCAATTTTAATAGCAATGATTACAAATCAATGAGATCTCCAGAATAACAGAAAACACACTGACCTGTTTGTACATGTGCCAGGAAACTATGAGTATTCCTTCTTCCAAGCAAAACTGTAAGAATCCTTTAATGTTTATTACTCTATACTTTGAGAGTAACTTGGGCATGGATGAAATATAACCTACTGGCTAGTTAAATTCAATAAATCTTTTTTTGAGCTGTGAAATTTTTATAAAGCTCTTTCACAGGAATTATGGGAGGTTTAATATAATATCCACACTCAACGCTGACAGACTTTACCATCAATTTTAAGAAAGAAAGGAGGAAAAAATCACAAAAAATGGCAAACTATTCAAGAACAAAGGTAAAAAAAATACTACATTGTACCTTACTGTTGAAGATTGTGTAGATGTTGAAGAAAAAGGGAGATCTGTAACAGCTGAAGACCAGCGGAGGTGAGACATAAGCTGATATTTCTTACTCCCTGCCATGCTTTCCAAATACACTGCCAGGCAAGCCTTGGAACAGGAGTGTCAGTTTCTAGTCTTCTCTGAAAACATGATTGCCTCATCAACCTACAAGTATAGCCTACAGGTTTGGATTAGAAAAAATATATATCATCAACGCTTATTATTTTCAGATTCCAAATTTGTAAATTTGCCTTCTCACCAAAATTTATTCATAGCATCAAAATCTATACTCCCTGCACATTCACTTAATTCAGACTCATAGACAGAGCCCCTAAAAGACTCGTAGGTTTCCAGCTAAGGTCAAACAAGGTGCTCTGCCTTCCTGCTTACTTAGCTATCATGCCACAAACAAATGCCCTCTTTCTGGCCTGCAATAAACCATTTGTGTACTTTTCTTTTTTGGTGATTTTGCTGTTTAAAATTTTCCCCAAGCATAGTGCCAAAGTGCTGTCTAGTGTTCCTAGGTGCAAGATGGCTGTGATGTGCCTTACAGAGAAAATATATATATTAAATAAGTTTAAATAAACTTCATTCTAGTACAAGTTACATTACTGTTGACTGTGAGCTCAATGTTAATGAAGCAGCCATATACATTAAGTAAGTTCTCTGAATAGGCACATACATAAAACACGGTTTTGTATTGACAAACATATTGGAACCAAGTTTTGTAGGAACCTAACTTTGTGTCTCCACTAGGAGCATTGGTTCAGTATTGTAAACCCATGTTCCCCTCCTCTTATCAGGGCATTTGACCTTGTACAGCCAACCTCAAGGACAACTTCAGTTGCACCAAGCATTTATAGGCATACCTCATTTTATTTTGCTTCACTTTATTGTGCTTTGCAGGTATTTCATTTTTTACAAATTGAAAGTTTATTGCAACCTTGTGTCAAGCGTGTATGGGTGCCATTTTTCCAATACCATGTGCTCACTTAGTTTTTCTGTGTCACATTTTGGTAATACTCACAATACTTCAAACTTTTCATTATTATTATATCTGTTATGGTGAAGTGTGATCAGTGATTTTTGATGTAATCGTTTTGAGGTGCCATGAACCATAAGCTTAATCAATAAATATTGTATGTGTTCTGACTACTCCACTGACCAACTCTTTCGCTCTCTCTCTCCCTCTCCTTTGGCCTTCCTATTTTCTGAGACACAACAGTTTTATAATTAGGTCAATTAATAACTCTATAATTGCCTAGAGTTCAAGTGTCCAAGTGAAAGGAAGAGTTGTACCTCCTTCACTTTAAATCAAAAGCTAGGAAGGAATGGAGAAAGCCAAGATGCGCCAAAAGCCAGGTCTCTTGTGCCAGTTAACCAAATTGTGAATATAAACAAAAAGTTCTTGAAGGAAATTCAAAGTGCTACTCCAGTGAACATAAGAATGATAAGAAAGCAGAATAAACTCATTGATGATATGGAGAAAGTTTGAGTGGTCTGGATAGAAGATCAGACCAATCACAACATTCCCTGAAGCCAAAGCCTAATCCAGAGCAAGGTCCTAAGTATCTTCAATGCTATGAAGGCTGAGAGAGGTGAGGAAGCTGCAGAAGAAAAGTTGGAAGTTAGTAGAAGGTGGTGCATGAGATTTAAGGAAAGAAGCCATCTTCATAACATAAAAATACAAGGTGAAGTAGCAAATGCTGATGTAGAAACTGCGGCAAGTTGATGAAGGTGGGTATACTACCCAACAGATTTCCCATGTAGATGAAACAGCCTTATCTTGGAAGGAGATATCATACAGGCATCTTTTGTAACTAGAGAGGAGAAGTCAATACCTGGCTTCAAAGCCTCAAAGGACTGGCTGACTCTTTTGTTAGGGGCTAATGCAGCTGGTGATTTTAAGTCAAAGCCAATGCTCATTTACCATTCAGAAAGCCGTAAGGCCCTAAAGAATTATGGTAAATCTACTCTGCCTGTGCTCTACAAATAGAACAACAAAACTTGGATGACTGTACACCTGTTCACAGCATGGCTTACTGAAGACTTAAGTTAACTTTTGAGACTTACTGCTCAGAAGCAAAGATTCCTTTCAAAATAATACTGCTCATTGGCAATTTACCTGGTCACCCAAGAGTTCTAATGGAGATGTACAAGAAGACTAATGTTGTTTTCATGCCTGCTAACACAGCATCCATTCTGCAGCCCACGGATCAAGGAGTAATTTTGACCTTCAAGTCTCACTATTTAGGAAATATATTTCATAAGGCTATAATATTCTCTGATGGATCTGGGCAAAGTCATTGAAAACCTTCTGGAAAGGATTCACCATTCTAGATGCCATTAAGAATATTCTTAATGATTCATGTGGGGAGGTCACAATATCAACATTAACAGGAGTTTAGAAGAAGTTGATTCCAACCCTCATGATGACTTTGAGGAGTTCAAGACTTCAGTGGAGGAAGTAACTACAGATGTGGTGGAAATAGCAAGAGAACCAGAATTAGAAATGGAGCCTGAAGATGTAACTGAATTGCTGCAATTGCATGATCGAACTTGAACAGATGAGGAGTTGCTTCTTATGGATGAACAAGAAAGTAGTTTCTTGAGATGAAATGTACTCCTGGGGAAGATGCTGTGAACATTGTTGAAATGACAACAAAGGACTGATAATATTACATAAACTTAGTTGATAAAGTAGTGGCGAGGTTTGATAATTTTAAAAGAAATTTTAAAAGAAATTTTACTGTGGATGAAATGGTATCAAATAGCATCACACATCACAGAGAAATCTTTCGTGAAGGAAGAGCCAACGGAGGGGGCAAACTTCATGGTTATCTTATTTTAAGAAGTTGTCCCAGGAACCCCAGCCTTCACCAACCACCATCCTGATCCATCAGTAGCCATCAACATTCAGGCAAGACCCTCCACTAGCAAAAAGATTGCTATTCCTTGGCATTTTATAGCAAAAAAAAAGTATCTTTGATTAAAGTATGAACATTTGCACATTTTTAGACATAACGCTATTGCACATTTCATAGACTATAGTGTAAACATAATTTTTATATATATACATATATATATATACATGTATATATATACTGGGAAACTAAAAAATTCGTGCGACTCGCTTTATTGCGGTGATCTGGAACGAACCCGCAGTATCTCCGAGGCGTGCCTGTACAGCGCCTGCAGGGGCTGCCTTCCGCCTGCTGCGCAGAGCGGCCGGCAGGTGGCGCCCAGCGGCGAGCTCTTTCCAGCTCGGTTTGGGCCAGGTGGACTGGAAGGGGCGGAGGTAAGCAGAAGAGGCCAGTGGTGGCCGCCCGCGGTCCCCCACCCCCTCCACGCAGCGCTCGCGACACGCGTGCCGGGAGGGGGAGCGAGCGGCGGGCCAGCTGCGTTCTGAGCTTGGGCGCCGCTGCCATCCGCCGTGCGGAGCACTGGGGCGTCCCCGCCGCGCTCGGTTCGAAGTCGGCCACCATGGAGGCGCAGGCACAAGGTGAGTGGTCGCCGATCGCCCCGAGGGTCGGGTCCCGGGCCGCGCACAACGGCGGTTTTCCCGCAGCTCCTAACTTTGCTGTGGGACCGAAGGGATCGGTGCCACCCTACGCGTCAGGAACTCGCTCCTACCCGCGCCTTCAGGATAATGCCTGCTCCCCAAACTCGGGCTTTGCCGTGGGTCTGGGGGTCGGTCAGTGGAGAGGCCCCTTCGCGGAAAACGCGCCCACGGAGCGCTCGAGCCCTTTCCGCCCGGTCGCCCCAAACCTCCCCAACCTCGCGGGTGCGCGAAGGACCTGTTGTGCCGGGTCCGAAATCCGCATTTGGTTCGCTTTGCTTTGGGGAGTGGGGAGGAAACGCGGCTCCCGTCGCCGGGGGCTGCGGACTTGCGCCTTGAGGCTTCCAAGTTGCGAAGAGCGGGGCTGGGGACCGGCCGAGGTGGTGGCTCCGGAGAGACCTGGGTCTCCCGGCTACGCGAGGGGCTTCCCGCGCGGGGACCGGCCTTCCGAAGCGAGGCGAGCGTTACTGGCCCCCTGAACCCCAGCAGATCTACACGTGTGCCCCGGTTTCCCGCGATCGGGGAGCGACCTCTGCCTCCCCAGGCGCGTGGGGGCCCCGGCCGCCGCAGAGTGGCAGCCCGGTCCCCGCACCCGGCTCTCGGGGCCGCCTGCCCCAGGAGCCCGCGGCGGCTCCAAGGAGGGCGGTCTCGTATCTTGGGGTCACACTAGCACCAGGGTTGGGGAATCCCAATGGAATCGTTCAAGAATGGGTGTAAACGGACTGCGGAAAGGGGCAGAGGTGGGCGGACGTGGAGCGAGTGACAGGTAAGATGGAAATTGACCCAGGAATCCACCTTGGGAGCAGCGCCCAGAAGGGACGGATCGCGGAGTTGATCCTTTAAAGCAATCATCCCCACCTTTCTTCTATACTGTAGGAAATTCTCTGATAGCTTTCAATATAAATAAAAGCCTGTTACAAAAAGAAGAAGAAAAAAAGAGGTTCATGACCCTATGTGCTCGCCCTCTAGGGGCAGAAGCGTCCTGAATGAGAACGGTTTGGCGAAGGCACCGGCTTGGAGTCACCCAACAGATTTTCTGCCAGGATTACAATTGAACAGCACGAACCATACTCGTTCGTTCTGTCAGCCAAGATCCTGCCCATAAAGCTGCCGCTTCCAATATTTTTCCTCCATTATGTAAATAGGAAAGGAGAATTTAACCAAAGGTAGGGGTCAAATTCAAAAGCAGAGAGGTCAGGTTGGAGGCCTTCACACCTGAACTGAAGCAGGCGGGAACACCGCTGGAGTTTTCCAATCTGTCTTGCAGATTGGAATGTTTTGGAATCTTAAATATTGGTCTTGGCCAATCCCATCCCAAACAAATTGGAATCGCTGGGGCCTGGGCATGGGTATATTTGAAAACTTCCCTTGTGATTCTATAATATTATGCAGAGAGGCTGGAAAAAAACCCATAGCAGATAGGAAACATTCATCCAAATTCTGAGGACATCTGAAACTACAGATTGGCAACCACTGGTGCCACTGGTTTGCTTTACTGGTTTGCTTTACTTCTGAGATTACTTAACAAATATCGCAGTGCTTTCCTTTGCCAACCACTGTGCTAGGAAGAGCAAAAACAGACCTGATTTCTGCTTCATGAAATTTACAATGGAGGAAGGGACAGACATTAATTTGATAGCTCCTTGATAAATAAAATGTAAAATTGCTACTGTGTTAATGCCAGGAAGAGGGTCCCATAGGGGAGGGAGAGCCTGCAACACTAAAACCTGGTATGCAATATTCAAAAGAGCACAGATCGTTTATTGTATCCCTGTCCCTGTTCTTTGTGTGTTACATCATTAACTCATTTCATGTGCACAGCAGTCTCATGAGGTCAGGAGGTAGCTACTGTTCTCATTCCCATTATACAGAGAGGAAATATTTGTGGAAATAAACTCCTTGTTTACAGTTAGTTACAGAAATAAACTCCTTGTTTACAGTAAGGAGTAGCAGAGTGGATGCTGTGAGTGCCCCATTCCCGCTCAAAGTCCAGGACTTTTAGAGGAAAGAAAACCTAAGCTCCTGCCCATCTCTCCAGCTGTGCTTTGGTGCTGTTCCCATCCCTCTCATGACTGGATGGAACCTTTGTGGGTGGGGAGGACTAGTAAAAAGGCAAATGAATATGAGAAAAGTGAACAGATTTAAGAAATTCTTAAGAAGAAAAATGAAAATAATTTGGATTGGATATGATATGAAGGAGGCAGTGTCAAGAATGACCCCAGCTTCTTGTACAACCAAATGGATGATGTTTAACTCTAAAATCTTCATTTTCCCAGTATGTTAAGTTTTTCATTTCAGAATTTTTTTAAGTCATTTAAGCAACAGGCATATTAAGTTCTTTAACAATAAAACTTTTCACAAACTGTCTATATTAAAAAATCTTTTTTTCTACTTGGCACATTGTTTTTCTGGCGAAATGAATGGTTGATTCTTAAATTCTAACTAAGGTAGTCCTGTGATTTTCAAAATATACGTTTCTACCTTCAGTGCAGTTTATTTTAGAATGATTTGGAGTGGAGATGGCTTGTCTTTCTGCCTCTGAACCTAGAGACAAGCAAAGATGAGTAAGGTTAAGTAGGCAGGTGCTGATAAGATGTCCCCTTGTACTGTCCAGGAGACCACACAGGTGCTGGGGACACTGTTTACATACATGGCTCAGTTAATGCCCCAACAGGTCCTAGAAACTTGCCCGTAAGTGAAATCCAGCAAATGTGTTCTTGATTTTGTGAAAGAATAGATTTCTTCCAGCAAAACAAGAAGACATTCAGGGGAGATGGTAGGAGGGAAAACACGAACTGGGATTATGAGTGGAGTGATTCAGTGAGGAGGGCAGTGTGGGGTGAGAGGACAGCATTCCAGGTGCTTCCCACTGGTGCTGGATCATTCTGCTTTAATACCATTGATATGTTAGAGAGGGAATTTGCTTGGGAATGTTGCATTTCCCAGAAACATATGGCAGTCCTTCAGAATGAAAACTTCCTGATCCTTTTAAGCTACCTTTCAATATTTCATTATTCTAAATCGAAATAACTTTGTTGTTTTTGCCTTTCCCAAAGTTTTAATGTTAAAAGGAAAACTTTTTCTCCATTTAACATTCCTATTTTTTCAAGTTAGTAACTGTGTTAGTTCCTTGTGGCTGCTACAAATTACCACAACTTAGGTGGCTTAAAATAATAGAAATTATTCTCATATACTTTGGACATTAGAAGTCCAAATCATTGTCACTGGGCTGAAATCGAGGTGTTGGCAGGGCTGCACTCTGTCTGGAGACTGAGAAATAATCTCTTTCTGCCTCTTCCAGTTTCTGGGGGCTGCCGACTTTCTTTGGCTTCATCACTCCAATCTCAGTCTTCCTGGTTACATGGCTTTCTCTTCTGTCTGTGTCAATCTCCCTCTGTCTCTCTCTTATGAGGACACTTGTGATTTCATTTAGGGCCCAGCTAGGTAATCCAGGATAATCTCCTTGTCTCAATATCTTTAATTTAATTACATCTGCAAAAACCCTTTTTCCATATAAGGTAACGTTTACAGGTTCCAGGAATTAGGACCTGATATCTTAGGAGACCATTATTCCGTTCACTATAATAACTATTTTTTATATTCAGACATCCACTCAAGAGGATTCTCAGGAGTCCATGAATGACATAAAGTAATAAATATCAGATTAATCCTACCTCTTTTCAAATTGCATTAAATGAAAATGCCATGTATACCTTACATTATACTTTGCTCATAGAACATTTATATATTCTTATCTTGTTCCGGGAAGGACTTAGGGCAGTTTATACGGATATATAAAATACAGCAAGATAATGTAAATTAGAAATAGATGAAAGAAAATAAGGATAAGAAGAGAAAATGAAACAAAGGATGAAGCTCTAGAAAACTGCATACAATTATGTCCTATTTATTGATATTGCATGGAAAGCAAATTCTTACGCTGCAAACAAAGTATGGTGTTTTGTTACAAAGCAATAAAATAACCCTTCCTCCCCCTGCCAAATAGCAGCAGGTGCAGTCTTTTATACAGGCATATCTTGGCTATATTGTAGGTTCACTTCCAGGTCACCAGTTCAGTTCCAGAATAAACTGAATATCACAATAAAGCGAGGCATGCAAATTTTCTGTTTTTCCAGTAAGTATAAACATTACATTTACACCATGCTGTAGTTCATTAATTGTGTAACAGCATTACGTCTAGAAATGTACCTACCTTGATTAAAAAATACTTTATTGCTAAAACAGAATAATCATCTGAACCTTCAGTGAGTCATAATCTTTTTGTGGGTGAAGGATTTTGCCTTGATCTTGATGACTGCTGACTGATCAGAGTGGTGATTGCTGAAGGTTGGGGTAGTGGTGGCAGTTTTTAAAAATAAGACAACAATGAAGTTTGCCTCATCAATTGACTCTTCTTTTTCTGAAAGATTTCTCTGTAGCATGTGATGCTGTTTGATACCATGTTATCCACTGTAGGACTTCTTCTAGAGTCATTCCTCTCAAACCCTGCCACTGCTTTATCAAATTAGTTTATGTAATATTCTAAATCCTTTGTTGTCGTTTCAGTGATGTTCACAGCATCTTTTCCAGGAGTAGATTCCATCTCAAGATAACACTTTCTTTGCTCATCCATAAGAATCAACTTTGCTCATCCATAAGAATCAGCTCATTTGTTCAAGTTTTATCTTGAGAATGCAGCAATTCAGTCACATCTTCGGGCTCCACTTCCAATTCTAGTTCTCTTGCTGTCTCCACCACAGTTGCAGTTGCCTCCTCCCCTGAAGTCTCGAACCCTTCAAAGTCATCCATAAGGATTGGAATCAACTTCTTCTATACTCCTGTTAATGTTGATATTTTAACCTCCTCTCATCAATCACAGATGTTCTTAATGGTATCTAGAATGGAGAATGCTTTCCAGAAGGTTTTCAATTACTTTGCCCAGATCCATCAAAGGAATCACTGTCTATGTCAGTTATATCCTTACAAATTGTGTTTCCTAAAATAATAAGACTTAAATCCTTAAGGAACTTAGGTATTTGGGAAGGATAAATTAGTCTTGATTTCAACATAAAATGACTTGCTTCATTAGGCCCTAACAAGAGTCAGCTGGACCTTCAAAGCTTTGAAGCCAGGTATTGAGTTTTCTCTAGCTATGAAAGTCCTAGATGGCATCTCTTTCCAATATAAAGCTGTTTGGTCAACGTTGAAAATCTATTGTTTAGTGCAGCCACCTTCATCAATGACCTTAGCTAGATCTTTTGGATAACTTGCTGTTGAGCTTCCATGTCAGCACTTGCTACTCTACCTTGCACTTTTATATTACAGAGACAGCTACTTTCCTTAAATCTTATGAACCAACCTCTGCCAGTTCTAACTTTTCTTCTACAGCTTCCTCACCTATCTCAGCCTTTATAGAATTGAGGATAGTTAGGACTTTCCTCTGGATTAGGCTTTGGGTAGAGAATATTGGGGCTAGTTTGTTCTATCAGACCAATCATATTTTCTCCATATTAGTAACACAGCTGTTTCACTTTCTTATCAGTCATGTGTTCACTGGAGTAGCACTTTTAATTTCCTTTGAGAGTTTTTTCTTTGCATTTGCAACTTGGCTGATTGGCACAGGTGGCCTGGCTTTCTACCTATTTTGGCTTTTTCCTTGCTTTCCTCACTAAGCTTAATCATTTCTAGCTTTTGATTTAAAGTGAGAGATGTGTGACTTTTCCTTTTCCTTGGACACTGAGAGGCTATTGCAGAGTTATTAATTGACTCAGTTATAGTATTGTTGTGTCACAGAGAATGGGGAGGCCCAAAGGGAGGAGAGGAACGGGGGGAATAGCTGGTTGGTTGAACAGTCAGAATCCATTGGGTTTGCTGTCTTACATGGGTGTGTGCGGCTCGTGGCTCCCCAAAACAATAACAATAGTAATGTGAAAGATCACTGATCATAGGTCACTATAATAGATATAATAATAACGAAAAAGCTTGAAATATTACGAGCATTACCAAATGTGACACAGAGACACAACATGAACACATGCTGTTGGAAAAATGGTGCTGATAGACTAGCTCAACGCAGGATTGCCACAAATCTTCAGTTTGTAAAAACACAGTATCTGCAAAGTGCAGTAAAGTGAAGCTCAATAAAAGAAAGTATGTCTCTACTATAAGCATCAGGCTATCCAAGGAAGAAAATTATTTTGAATTTTATATTTAGAATTTTATATTGTGATTCAGGCAATATAATCATAAACCTCAAACTGTGGAAGCTAACTGGTATACATTTTGATATTTGATTTTTAAGAGTATTATTAAGACTATTCATAGTGTCTTCAAAGCTGCCTCCTATAGTTTTATTTCCCCTTTAAATAAAAGTTTTAAAGTAGGCAATGATGTATATGTTGGATTAAGTCAGTCATTTTGA